CCCCCCTCAAAAGCTTTACTTTACGCCAGCTTTTTGTAAACACTGAGTAGGGTAAAATAATAGATAGTAGAGTGTCTGCGATGCAGGTGCGTTGCTGAGTGCGCATTGTGGTGTGTGTGGCCAAACGCCTGGGGTCACAACTTGACTTGGTTTCTGCACGGTGCGCTGATTAGGACTTTCCATTGCGAATGCGAATGCGAATGCACTCATGGCTTTCGAGTCCCTCCAAGAAGCCCTTCATAAATACAATCATAACAAACCGCAATTGCGGTCATTCGAATGTGAAAGTGCCAAATGTGTGAAATGAAGCCGAGGAACTCACGAAAAACTATGCCAACAGCGAAACGAAGACGAACGGCAAACGTGTCTTCAAAAGATTTATAATTACCCTCACTCGTTGTGGCACAATCCAATGGCCACTTGAGCACATTTCCTGTCACGTCGTCGCACAAACGCACAACAGCCTAGTCAGGTATGCAACTACAATTGCAATCCTGCACAAAGTGAACCAGCCAAGTGTGTAGTGGTGTAGTAGCGCCTCAGGTGCAGCGGAAAGTGCTGCTACTGCATACATACATTTGGGAAGGAAGTGCCTGAGAATTCAGGTGAAGCAGCTGCTGTCATCTGTGTAGGCAATGGACAATCTATTTGCGTGTGTGTGTGTGTGTGCGTCACTTGAATTGCGGCCGAGTGCGCACTAGACAACAAATAATGACAACAACAGCACGAAAAATACAAGCCAATTGCCGGCGCACATGGCGTATGAGTAACATTTCTCTGCTGTTACAGTGGCTTGTGACACACACACATTCAAATACATATGTACATAGCGGATCGTTTGACGCATAGACACTTTTAATTGGTAAACTGTTAAGCAACCCAATTTGCTAGGAATTTCGCTTTAGACCCACATACACACATACAAAAATTTAGCGAGGAAAAGCCAGCAAAGGCGAGTATGGTTCTAAATAGCTGTTCGCTCAAAGCCAGCTAGTTGCTTAATCCACTATGACTATCATTTTGTTCAGCTCTTTGGCATACATATAGCGCTAAGTAGCCAAACTACATAAATAAAATTTTCAAGTGCAATCATTTTTCATAGAATTGAACTAGTATTTGTGGCTTTTAATAGAAACTAAAATTTAAATCGATGCCTACCTTTAACTGTCGTCTCTCACAGTTTGTGACTCTTTTATAGGTAAAGCGCCTGCCGTTTTGAAAACAAAGAAGAGATTTGAATTAAATATATGTGGTACTGACCTCAGATACAATACTTATTTTGTAGAATAAATTGCAATTAAGCCACAATAACTTGCAAATGCAACACTACAAAACGAAGAAAGGAATAGAACTGGTCTAATGATTTGCCGAAAGTGGCAGGACGTTAGAAGACGGACCAGCCAAAAAAGTATTCGCCTACTTACGACCGAACGCGTCGGACGGACCACTTAGATGGGCTTCAACCCTGTAAACGGTTCATGTGAATAAAATTAATTATTATACTTAAGCATTAAAAATTACTATAATTCTAAAGAGCCATCCTATATATACAACTATCCTTATGGTTTTAATGTGTAGAAAATTAGAGTAATCTCTCCTGTAGTGCTCCAAGAAAGTTCTTCAGTAAACTTCCTTAAGCTTTCCGTAAGAAGTGGAGTGGATGGAAGGTAAAAACACAAGAAGCGAAAAGGAGACAATGTTGATTCAAAACTGCTGCTTTGTTTCCATAGGCAACGTAAAGGAATGTTTCCACATTATTTCCAAATGGAAACTTTTCATATTTTTCTTGAGTGTCTGCGATGCTCGAGTACTTACAGTTGTGCATACACACGCAAATAAGTAAATACATTTACGTAAATATAAATGAATTTAAGAATATCCCCCCATTTACCACCGTAATTGGCGACTCCCAAGGTCTGATTGTAGTCGGCATTGTTGCTGGGCCTCCTAATACATAGGCGTCTATAAAGAGCCTCATTTGAGAGCATTTTACCAACTGCGGGATATTCCAGGAAGCCTCTGATATGTTTTGCCTGTTTGTTTTCACTTGCAGCTCACTGTTGTTGCTTTGTGCGGGATTATTTGTGCCTGAGCATACCTCTACATACATACATACTTATGTTTAACTTCACTTATATATCTAAATGCGTGCAAACTTTCAGTGGAGCGGTCTTAAGCACTTACCGCTCTTCGGCAGAATTACTTAGATGGATGAAACTCGGCAAATGCGACCGCCCTTGCCGCGGTGCTCTGGTCTGCCACGGTTTTTTTGTATATATGTATGTTGCTTCGTTGCTATTTGTGTTTAAAACAGCTGAAAGGAAACGAGAAGTGAAGAAAAAATTATCAGGAAGGAATTAATAAGGAAAAAGGTTTTATGAATAAGTAAAAAATCCACGCTGAAACACAAATAATTATTGTTTTTTGGTGAAATGCATTGGCTGCTTGAAATTATATAAATTGTAAATACATATATACACACATAACTAAGTATATTACACATTTTTATTGAACTTGTCACTGAAATAAAAACGAATGCCTTCAGGCGCCCCTAAAAATTTGCAAATTAGCAGCTAAAAAACCGGTTTAGTAATTACTCGTATTTTGTTTTTTTTTTTGCACTGCATAAATGCAAATTAGTGCATTTTTTGTACTTAATTACCATTTACCATTTTTTTTTCTCGCACTCTTGCCTTTCCTTTCCTTATTTTTTTCTTGGCAGATGAATGAACTTTGTTGCCAAATATTTAGCGCAGCTGCCATTTAAGCACAAAAAACCGGCCACCATAAAAATTTAGTTGTTGCGTTGTTCCCCAATCGTTGTGCATTTCTCCAATTGCGCCTTGCTGTTATTGTAAATCTTTTCGATAAAAAAAAAAACGAAAACGATTACGGCCGCACTTCCCTTTCGTTAAGTCACAGCAGCTCAGAGCGGCAAACCGGTTTAGAGTCAGTGTCAAAGTCAAATTCGATTGTTGTTATTTGTCTTGTTCTTGTAAAACGTATAAGAAGAGTTTGAAATGCTTTGCGTGTGTGAAAATAATGGCTCTTAAAATCATAAATTTCCAATTAATCGCTGCCAATACGAATACCCGATGCACCTGATTATGGCGCAGAGCCACCGACCAGCGGGAATTTTCGTAATTTATAGCGAATGACGGGCACACTTAAGTGCTTACACTGAGACAGGCTGATTACTCTAAGGGCGTGGAGTCTTGAGTGCATTCCTGCTTTGGAAATGGTAAACAACTTACAGGCTGCTGAATCACTTTCTTTCAGATAATTCTTAAAACAAAAAAAAAACAAAATAAAAGAAAACTAACGTCGCTGGAAAGAGCTCAGAGTTGAATAGTTTTGAAAAGCTTTATCTTGTTTGTTGTGAAATATGTATGTGCATTAGGGTGATCAAAAAAAAAAAGTAAGTCGCAATTTTAATGTTCTCACCCCTAGGATTGTTCTATACCGAACAAACTTATACCGCGGTTTTTTATTTTGAAATCAAAAAATATTCAGAGGTCGTTCAAAGCGGTAGAAATTGTATAGAATTCTTGAAAATCAATATTTTTCAAAATCAATATATTTCAATAACAATTTTGAATTGCTTACTTAACCATTTTCTATTATTAACAATTTTTTTAGGACCCGTAGAAATCTCAAATGGGTCCCCATTGCATTTTTTGAGGTACTACTTAGGGGTTATAATAGAAAATGGTTGAACAAACAATTGGGTATGATATTGGAAGTCTAATAAACCAAAGAATTTATACAAAAAACTTGTTTTTCACATTTAAAATTTATGGAAAACTTTGGGCGCTTTGAGCGACCTATAAATATTTTTTTATTACAAAATAAAAAAAAAAAACCAAGGGTTTAGTTTTCTTCGATATAGAAAAATCCTAGGGAGTGAGAGCATTAAAATTCCGACTTTACTTTTTCACATGCATTTTTGGGCCACCGTAATTGCGACAAATCTAGCATGATTCCGGGAGCAAATAATCAAGAGACTAACTGTTCCGCTTTAAACCCGGACAGGAATGAACATTACCTGTTCTACATACCCCCAAATTCATACTTATTGTTGTTGGAATTTTATTGTACTAACTGAGCTGCGCATAAAATTTTCCTTAATTTTTTTAATTAAAAATATTATCTTTATATATAGCAACTAAGAAGAAAGTTAAACTGCATTTCATAAAAAGCCATAAATACAAATTAAACGCACACAAATGACGACTGATGAGTAGGTACAGAAAAAATACTAACAAAAAATACATTAACTTTTGCTTTCGTCTTGCCGTCAGGCAAAACTTCCGTATGGCAAGCGAAAAGTTCAGATACCACTTAAGTGCCATTATTTACGTCACTGATGATGAAGCAGGAGTAGGAAAATATTTCAGCTGGAGCGAGAAAGTGAGTGTAACATCAAAAAACTTTCGGCACATTGACAAGCGATCTCTTTATTTGATGAATATTAGAGAAATTACAAGAAAGATAAGCGATAACTCAGCGCAGAGCAGTGTAGAGATAAGAAACCTTGAAAGTTTTTGAATTGCACTTAAAATTAATGGATGAGCTCAGAGTGTCAGAGGTTACTGATTTATAACTTTCAAAACTCTGCAGAAAAGCAAAAAGTAGTTTAGTTTTCATTCGTGGTTTTCGGTACTTCAATTTTTGTTCCGCCGAGTTATACATATTAGCTTATTTATTCTTACTTAAAACTAGAAAGAAATTTAAAGCTCTATTCGCTATGTTCAAAATACAACTCAACTTTGTAGTAATGAAGAAATAAGTAAATAATATTGAGCTTGTAAATTTAGAGCGCAATAGGTCCTGCTCTTGATGGAGAATCTCAGAAAGGCATAGACTTTTTGCTTAACTCCTGAATGAGGTTAGATTGAGTTGATATTCAGCACTGAATAGTGTTTATGAAACTTTAGCAACTCGTATTTGGATAATATCTGGAGGCTAAAGAAAAAAGAGAAATTACGGGTATTAGAATTAATGAAAATCTGCTTGCAATCCAAAAAAAAAAAAAAAAAAATTAGTAAAAATATTTCATCTTTTCCCCAGTGCATTTTGTATGTCAATCAAATGAATCCTTTCAACATTTTCTCTATTCATTACTTATAATGGACAGCACAAATGGCACGCATGTGTATGTATGTAGCTACCAACCAACAATAACAAAAATTCAAATACAGTGGATTCGCTATAATTCTAAAATCTCCGTAATTCGTAGCAATACGTTGGCTTTTGCGAACAAATTTCGTTAATTTGCAGAATTTAATTTGTATTTATTTGACAATGTAAGTTTTATTTTTTAGCTCTCATAAATTGTAATTGGTTGTACATAAACTTCTGTAATTCCTAACGCAACGCTAAATTCTGTGTAGTTGTACTCGGGAAAAAATAAATCATAGTTTACAAATTATCGGGATTCCACTGTATGAATAAATATAGGATGGCGACAACAACAACAGCAATAAAGTTACTTGCCTAGCAATGACAGCGCCACTGCTGAGAAATCCTACAAAAGGACATTTCAACGCGGAGGAGTGGAGGTGGCGTACAAAAAATCAAAAACTAACAGGATATACGTACCTACATACATACATACATACATACATACATACATAGATATGGAATGGCGCGAAATAGGAAATCGGAAGAATGTATGTATGTTTAATAGTAAGAGAAGAAGAAATTCGAGTGATTGACTCATTTGCCAGCTGGCTGCCTGGAGCCGCCGCTGGAGTCGCTGGAGGCGCACAGACAAGGGAATATAAGATTGCTACAAGTCCTCTATGGCGCACCGAGACGGATGCTTGGTTGCCATGTGGCATTGTAGCTGTGACAGCATCTGTTGCTGTGGTTTTGCGTTGGTTGCTTTTTGCATTTTGTTGACTTGATTGTAACTTGGTGATAATAAATGTAATTGTGATTTACATGAATGCACACGCACACACACACACATACACTTATGCATATATGCACGTACATGCATGTGTATGTACGTATGTATGTATGCAGATACTTTCATTTTCATATGAGGAAGTATTTTAACATCCTTATACAATCTGGTTTTGTGTTTTTTTATGGATGTATGTATGTATGTATGTACGTAAAGGTTGTGCGTGTGCCGCCGCGCGGCAGTTGCGTGTTATTTGCTACTCGTTATTTATTCCTTTGCCTGATTTTTTTTTTCATTTACGATTTATTTTAGTTTTATTTTGTATTATGTGATTGCCTTGATTGCTCGAGTTTGTTGCATATCATCGCTCCGAACTCTTTCCATGCGCCAGCGTTGACCGTTTCACTACACCGCAGCGATCGCCTTTGGCTTTCTCCCCGACAAAGTTCAAAGATAAACGAACTGTGTCAACGCTTACAGCTGTGGGTGTTGCAACAACAATAAAAAATGTGGTTTTGGTGACAAATACATATGTACGTACTCTGAAAGTAACGCACAAATCATTTCCAGTTAATTGAAGTCATTTCGATATCATTTTAATGCTCCGATTTTGTTTATTTTATTTATTTTTTCTTTATGCGGTTCTCATGAAAAGGTCATTCGCAGTTGTCATAACACGATTGTGGGAACACAGCTTAACAGCTTAACACAAAATCGATTTCCCAAATAACAGCAGGTGTTTACTTATATGTATGACAATTTATTAGAGGTGGTGGAACAAAGAATCCTATGACGTTCTTTCGTTGTTCGACAGACAGTTTAGGAATACAATTTTTAATTTATTGCAAATTTCTTAAAAAAAAAAAAAAATTGCAAATATGAAGCTAAGTGTGGAGTGAATGGAAATGTCAAGGAGTCTTAAAATATTCTTGGTGGAATTGGAAACGTAAACTTGACTTGACAGCACATCGACGGCACTCACTGCTCAACGCTAGAGCAGCTGGAAGCATGGTGGAAGACATCAGCCTCCAATCCTTTAGCACCTTTTTCTATGACTAAGGAAAGTGTGCGATGTACTCAGTACAAAATCAATGGTAAACATGTGGCTAGACTACTGTCCGTGTAGAGAACAAAGTTTGGGTAAGAATAAAGCGAACAATTTTAAACCACAATTGTAGAGGAAGCTTTTTAATTTTCCAAACATTACTTCACGTGGTATAGTTAGGATTATCTTTGCTGGCAAAAAGCATGCGAAATCATTTGTTTTTTTTTCGATTGCCGTATTTGGCCACGATTCGCTAATAACCAACTACAACACTGCGATCTTATCTCAATATCCAAGTTCGTTTTCTTTTTTTTGACTAATGCAGCAGGTACAATCAGTCTGGCATGCTTAAAGTGCA